TGGAATCTTATGTGCGTATCTTGTTTTAGTCTCTATATCTCTGTCTATCTGACTAATTTCGTGGCAGCTTAGCAACAATTAGTTGTTCTACTCATCATTAGCAGTAAGAACTAGGTTTTTGAGAGAGGATACTATCAAGGATAGGAATTATACCTGTTCTACCTGAGAATGGCAGCAATGGGGTACTCATACATGTGGCCACCACCCTGATTTCACTTTTTGTATTTAATGATAGCGACTTTTATAACCACCTCATGTGGATTGAGAGTTTTGCCGATTCAGCAGACCAGCTTTATGATTCCTAAGGCTGTCAGAGCCTTGCTGATCAGGCTTAACATTGCTCACTGGAATGAGGATACCAAGAGCATAAATGGTTTGTCTTGTATTTCTCCATCTCCTATGTGTGAAAGTATGTCTAGGTTTCTTCTTTTTATTTATTGTTCTTTATTTTATTTTATTTTCGCATACAAGTAATTGGAAAACCTATTCTTTGTGCATTTCTGTCTTCATGTAAAAATGAATAAATTTAACTGCTGAAATAATAAGTGACAAACAAATACTAATGGAAGTGCAAATGTAAAAATGACTGAAACTGACTCATAACATATTGAGTGCTTTACCTTGGATATCGGACATGGGGAGGAAAAAAGAAGAGGGAGAGAAATGAAGGCAAATATTGATTTTTGTAGCTTATTTTTATACAGTATTAGAAATAAAATAGAAAAATCTAGATTCTTCACATTAGTAGAAGGAAATGGAATTCAATAATTTCTGAGTCTAGATACCTGCAAACAATTGTTATCAGTAGCCATATGTTATAACTTTACACACTGTACAATTATGTATAAATCATCAAGTCCATCTAACTACAGGTGAGCTCAAGAAAGTCATTAACAAGTCGTGGACCTGAATATAACTTGGTCATTTTCAACAGAATTATACTGGAAATAATTTTTGCACTGGAACAAGAATACAACTCCTAAGTGTTTGGTTCAACCGTTCAAGGGATATTTTAAGGTAATATTACATTTCTGGGAATCTCACATAACCTAAGAGTGTGAGGGGAATGTGATTCACATGAAAGCTACCAAAATGAACTAAAAACGAAGTTTGGGAATCTCACATTCCCTTGAGGCAAACAAGGGAATATGATATTACCATATTCACATTCCTAAGGTTATGTGAGATAACCTGAGCCAAACACCCCCAAGAGTTATGTATCTCTTTCAGTCTTTCATTTTCACTCTTCTGTTTTGTGAGTCCTGCTAGTCACAATTGTTGTAATAGAACTTTGATGGAGATGTCAGTCAAAGACTTTCTGATGAATAGGAGTATGTCTGTGCTGGTCTTCGTTTTTTGAACTTCCAGGTACTGGTGTGTATGACATCATGCTCATTCATGCCCTTTGGTTTCATACTGGGGTTTCCTAATTATGAATTAGTATTGATACAATGAGGTTTTGTTCTGTAACATAAGATATCTGTTTGAATTATAGGGTTCATATTGATTTTGCATTTCTGCTTTATATCTCATTGTGGTCAATGTTCATTGTCAATTGCGTTTTGGTTGTATGCTTGGACTTTAGTTGCATTTTTAACTGACCATCATGGTCCTGATACATTTGTTGCAAATGTTGTTCATATTGGTTAGAGCCTTAGAGGAAACTGAACTGATGCATTTGCTGCAAATGTTATGACTCTAGAACCAGCATTGCTATATTTAGAGCTTCCTTTGAGTATCCTAAAGGCTGAGGCTGTTCAGCCATTAACAGATACAGCGAAGCAATTCCCATCTGCGCGCCACATAGACATCTCTATGTCGCATAAATACCTACCTTTTTCATGTGTTTCTCTTAGTCACGAAACATGCAATTCTTTTTGTTTCGTAATATTGGCTTCAACTGTACTTCTGTTGCTAGAGTTTTGTGATTCTATGCCAGTAAAGATATTCCCTTTATTTTGCTTATAGAATTTCATTTTATATCAAAACTCACTTTGATTCTCTGCTCGCATTAAATATCACTCGACTGTTCCTGTAATGATTATAAGAACTTCCTTTTTGTGTTGAAACCGGGAAAGGTTTAGGGGGGTCCTCCAAGTGGCAAATAAGGATTCAGTATATTATTTTGACGCTATAAGTTGGAGGATTGACATAATGACATGAGATTCTTTGTGCTACATATGCTTTCCTTACCTGAGCTGCCAAAAGCTTCATAATATTCTAGCTTGTAATGACTTTGAGCTGAGTTTGCATCCAAGAATGTACTTGATGCCCAATTTTTCAAGTGAGGCCATTAGTTGACAGCGAACCCAAGCTGTGAAGGTTCTACTTGAGCAGTTGTCATTTTTGTTGTAGGATTGACACGAGATTCTTTGTATTGAAGAAGACAAGGACTCATTACCAGGTGCTTACAAATATCAGCCCATCAAGGTAATCGAGTTTTAGCTTCCTTGCCCGTGCTAAATTATTTGTCTTTCTAGTATATTCTCAAGAATTTCACCTGGAGAAAAGGGTTTTTCCTATTCACACATTGTAAATTTGTAACATGGATCAACAAGGTTTGTGGATGCAGGAAAAAGGTTTTGCGCCATTATTATATCTGGTGGAAAGGCAGTTGGAAATCAGAACTTGTTTGGCATAGCATGGATTTCTTTCATGAGGGCAAGTGGACAACTTCATCAATGGCACACTCCATCTTAGTGCAAAGCTTTCAGTTAAGCACTAACTAACTATTCATTCATTACTTTCAAAAAATTGTTATTCTGTTTTCTTCTTTCCTAAGTTACAATCTTGTTTCCATGGCCTGAGGATAGCAAGTAAAAGGGAAATTAAGGTAACTGCACTTGCACATCTTGTTTAGAGTTGTATACGTTTCTTCAATCTTATATTTTCCATTTCTTCGGTTTTTAAGAAATATTCATTCTCTGTTTTCTGTTTTCCAAATGTACAAGTAAACTTCTCTGTTTTCCTTTATTTAGTTTTCATTTCTCCAAGAAATGAAAAATTGCTCCGAATTGTAAATGCACCCTGTATATCTAGCTCTTTTTGTCCGACTAGAGAATGGAATGGAATGATGCAAATCAAGTTTGTGTAAGCTGGAAAATTTTGATTTGGTGAATTTCTTGGAAATTGGAATGCATTTTGTGTAGGCAAGTTGTACTAAGCAATGTTAATAATAGGTTTGTAGAAAAATGAAATTCGGTTCTTGAGTTATAAATCAAGTATAGATTCGGTCTCTTAATTATTATTATTATTATTATTTTATTTCTAAAGTTGTAGTTTTGGTCTCTTTCGATGATGGGTGAGGAAAGATGTAATTAAATATTCATGTTTACTTTTATTATTTAAATATTTTTTAATAATTATTATTTATATATTTATTTATTTAAATCTAATAATTCAAACACGATTAACAACAGAATCACTGGACTATCTAATTGTTATACCTTATTTAAAATCACATCTCAAATCGAGCATGAACTAAGTTCGGTTAACCTTGTTGACGCACAATAATCTCAATTAAAATAATTTGTTTTCAAAAAATAAAATAAAATAAGAGAATGAATCTATATTTTGGATATATAACTTAAAACGACTACATATACCATTTCTCCTAAGTTTGTATTCCTATGATTTGGTGATCTAGTTGGTGTTTATATGGTTGCCAATTCAAGTGGGATTTTAGGAATATGGTTCTTCTAAGGATATGTGATGTGGTTGAATTACTTGAGAATCTTTCAATTCCATCTTTTTGAAAGGGAACTTTGGTTGTAAGCATATATTCTTATCTAACCCTGCAGCTAACACCATTAAAAAAATAATAATAAAAAAATCTAAATAAGAGAAGTAAAAATAGGTCAGCTTCCCTATTTAACGTGAGAATATATAATAATTTTTTTTTCATATTTAATTAATAAATATTTTTTTTTTTAAAAAAGAATTGGATGGAGTCGGTTAACTTATGGTAACTAATAAATAAAAAAAGTTTTACTGTCATATAAAATGATAAATGATTTTGATAAAAAAAAATTTGGTTCATGTAACATTATTCATATATAAATTGTCAAGTTCTATTAACTTTTCTTCGTTTTAAATCGATAGATCTAGAGATAAGATAAGACATCATTTTTAAATATGTATGTTTGAATTAATTTAATAACATTGTATTTAAATGTGAGACATTTCACTCAATAACGTGAGATTTGTTCAAGCTCCCAAAACGTAAGTTAATTCAATTAATTTTTTATGTCAGTTTTACTTCAATTATGTTATTAACGTAAATAAATTTGGTTTGGGCTAGTACTGTATAAACGATTTCTATTATTTTAGTTTGCAAAATTTAAAAATTTATCATATTTTATAAAACTTGTTTACACTATTTGTACTACAAATTTTGTAAATGAATGTCAAAATTTTGATAACAATTATGTATTCGAATAATCTTCAAATATGCCACTGAACTACACATAACAATGTAATTGGGCCATTCAACAAAAAAAAGCTGCAATTTGGTGATTGAACCGTTAAAGATTATGCAATTAAATCAAAATTGATTTGGTCGTATAGTTATCGTTAATGTGACGGTTATCTTAATAAAAAAATATTATTTTTAATTTATGTAATAATTTTAAATAAAATAATTAAAAAAAACATATTCGTCTCTGACAGAGACAAAGCCCTTCTCTTTGTCTCTCTGTCGGAGATGAAGAAAATCTCTTCATCTCTGGCTAGAGAAAAAGACACATTCTTCGTTATTGACCTAAAGAAGATGACGTGTTCTTTGTCTCTAACCGAAGACAAAGAGGTCTTCGCCTCTTGATTGGAGACGAATGTATTTTTTAATTTTAAAATTATTAATAAAGTAAATTAAAAGTTTAATTTTTAATAGAATGACTAACACATAAGCATAATCGGAGGAGCATATCAAAGGAAAATATGATGTACTCCTAAGATGAGTAGGAAAAGACTTTTATGTTTTTATTTTTTATATGTATATATAGATATATAGATTATAGACTAAACAATTAGGGAGTAAACAAAATACACATTGTTCCTTTTAAAAGCATCCAAAACCTCGGAAACAAAAACCAGAGCTGTTTGGGTTAGGGTTTCCAATCTCGAGTCAGCATGCCGAAGAACAAGGGAAAGGGAGGTAAGAATAGGAAGAGAGGGAAGAACGAAGCCGATGATGAGAAGAGAGAGCTCGTCTTCAAGGAGGACGGCCAGGAGTACGCTCAGGTCCTCCGCATGCTCGGCAACGGCCGCTGTGAGGCCATGTGCATCGACGGCACCAAGCGTCTCTGCCACATCCGCGGCAAGATGCACAAGAAGGTCTGGATCGCCGCCGGCGACATCATCCTCGTCGGCCTCCGTGACTATCAGGCAAGATCAATTTCTTAGAACAAACGATGAAAATTTCTCCTAATTTTACAATCTCACCTCGTCCTCTTTCCCCCAAAGGAGTTTTCTTAATTTATTTTTAATAATTATTCTCTTTGTTGCTTACTATACATGTTGAGTTAGCTGAAGGATTGTAGTATTAGGGAGATTTGCAGAAAAGTCTCTTTTTCGATGCTGTTATGCTTGGATACCTATATTCAACTCTATTAGGGGGCGTTTAGTTCTTGAATTTTCATTAGTCTTATACTCAATTGTATTAGGGGGGCGATTGGTTCATGGCTCCTCCAGTATCTGATTTGATTCAGATTACCTTGTTTCATTAGTCTTATATTGAATTAACTATGTTGGGCATGTGGTGGTGTTTAACTTCTAACTTTGTTTTTATCCGATGACAGGATGATAAGGCCGATGTAATTCTGAAATATATGCCGGACGAGGCCAGATTGTTGAAGGCTTATGGAGAGTTGCCTGAGAACACTAGGCTCAATGAGGGTATTGCTGGTGGGTTGGATGAAGAGGATGAGGGCGCGGCTGATGATTACCTGGAGTTTGAGGACGAGGACATTGATAAGATTTAAAAAGCTGAAAACTCTCTCAAGTATTTTTATTTGTATTTGAGTTATATTTCTGTGGAGTTTGGTTTCAATATACATAGAACTGGGATATTTAATTTGTAATGTTTTAAATGATATATGACGCCTTGTGCATTGAATTTCAAGTATGAAGTTAAGCTTTCGATAAAATGGATGGAATAAAACTGAGTTACCTTTTTAAGCTATCTATCTATGTGGTTGACATGGAAAACTGTATGCGTGTTCTTGATTGTCTTCTGTGCAATTTGTGGACTGGTAATTCTTGGATGTGCCCTTTTCTGCTTTCTTCAAGATGGTTTTAGGAACAAATTCATAAACTGACATTTGCTGTGCTTAGTGAATTCGTTCTATCTTTTAGCTGCTTGTAGTATGTATGATTCAGAACATGGATTTATGATCTTGTTGAAGGAGGTGAATAGGACATTAAGGCTTGTTCTGCAATGGCATATTTTTGGCTTTTGATGTTTACTTTTTTTGGATGACAAGGGAAACCCGCAGCCATTATCTGAGGGTGTGCACTACGTAAACCCCACATTGTGATCATAGCCAGCAAATGATCATAATTCCCCTAGGAGGTAAATCAGCCTAGGTTGCTCATGACCGTCCGACTCAAACCAAGAAGGCCAATAGGTTGCTCTTACTGGGAGCCGAACTTGAAACTTTGACATTTATTTGATATTTGAGGCACATGCGTGTTTTGTTTTTTGGTCTTCTCTACAGCTTATCAAGTAATAAGTAGTTGTAATGAATAGTTTTCCTAGTAGAGTATTCAGAGTCAGCTCAATATTTTTCTTGTTTGCTAAAACGTTTCAATCATAGTTTGTTATGTGGGTGTTAAGTTTTAAATCTGTGCCTGCTTATGGAAAAAAGCTTAGTTTTGGACATGATGAGGGAATTGTTAATGTTCATAGAGACAACATATGATACAGGCATGTTGCTTACCTAAGACTTTTAATTGCTTTATGCCTGTCTATGGTTTTTATTTTGGAAGGTTGTATTAACAGAAATTAGTTGTCTGCATCTGAAACCGGGATGCTGATGAATTGAAGCAATGCTATTGTTGCTAGATGAGGATAAGCTAATTAGGAAAACTATGAAATTCATGTTACGTGTCCCTTAGTCCCTTGCCAAATGATAGTGTTTTTAACCTCCAAGCAATTGGCCCTTCAAGTTTCAAACCTGCTAGAATGTCTGAATGTAATGTGACCTAATTCATTCGCAACCTATGAAAGGCTGAACAGATCTATTACATTTCATGAAGCTCAGGGTAGTAATGACTAAAAGAGCAGTGAAGAAAAACAGAGTCTATAACTAGCTTGCATTCAATTGACTTTTGAGCTTAGACAAATGTTCAAGCAATTTGCATCTAGCCAAGCGCCGCTCTTCAAGAAGGCAAGAAGAATACAATAATACAAAACTTGAGCTTTGAGAACTTGCCAGCTTTGGAACACAACCCTTCCATATTATAAGACTCGTGAAGATAAAGGAAGTGTTTGGTAAATAGTTATTAGCTGATAGCTGTTAGCTGGTTGAATTAATGGGTTTGATTAGTTACGTTGATAGTATTGGCTAATTGTAGAAAAATGTTTGGTAAATTAGTTGTTAGTTGATAGCTTGATTATATACAAATGACTTTCTCAAAAAGTTAATCGGTAGAGCAACTTTTTAAATATTAGTCTTTTGGAACAATAAGCTGTTACAATTATATTGGTTGTTTAACCAAGTTAAATTACTAATAGTGGTCAAACAAACTAAAATTGGTTGATAGACTAACTATATTTTACTAAAGATGGCCAAAGACTATGGGCAAATCTCCAATCTTGGAGATCAAAAGAGGTAGTGGATCTTCAATAAGACAACTACACCACATGTCCAGTTTACTTAGGCTTACAAGTGAAGATAACCATTGAGGGATCGGATCAGATCCTCTCAAGATGCCCACTCAACTTTATTGTACGAAGACACCAAAGATGAACTCTAAATAAAGAATGTTGAATATCAAAATCAAATTTAATACAATTAAATACATAATCAAATTCAATATTGCCTTATGAATACCAAACTGTACATATATACATACATAGACATTTACACATACTACATTTCCTGACCATTAAGAGACTGCATTATGTCGTCATTTACAAATTTATTTACTAATATGAATGTAAGGAATGTGAGATATTTTTGTGTAGTTTTCACCATTTGGATCTAAAGAAAGCATCAAATTTTCGTTCAATTGGCAGAATGCAATTGAATCGAGTTTAGACAAATGTTCAATACCAAGAGGCACATGTTCAAGCAATTCGCAAGTAAACAAGTAGAGCCTTTCAAGAAGGGGCATTGCATCTTCCTCTACTATTATCCATTTCAGTGCCCAGAAGCAATCAATACGCAAAAACTTTAGCTTTGGGAACTTTCCAGCCTTAAAACATAACCCTTCCACTATTAATATACATATTTGAAAGAGCTATGATGTTCAAGACTTCTATTTACTCCCAAAACATTTGAATTAAAATAAAGTACAATTAAATACTGAATCAAATTCAATTAGAACACTATTGCCTTACGAATAACAAAGTGTACATACAGACATGGACATTAATACATACTACAGTCCTGGCCATCAAGAAACTGCATTATCTCACCATTTACAAATTTATTTAGCAATTTGAATGTGAGGAATGTGAGATATTTTTGTGTAGTTTTCACCATTTGGTTCTAAAGTAAGCATCACTTTATTGTTTAAACGAATGAATTTAATTGAATTGAGTTTAGACAAATGTTCAATACCTGCAGGTACCTGTTCAAGCAATTTGCAGTAACGCAAGCAGAGGTCTTCAAGAAGGGGCATTGCACCTTCCTCCACCATTATCCATTTCAGTGCCTTGAGGAACTGAATATCCAAACACTTGAGCTTTGGGAACTTTCCAGCCTTGAAACACAACCCTTCACCTTCATAAGACCCAACAAGTAGAAGATGTGCTAACATGGGTAGATCTTGGAGAAGCAGTAGTGGATCTTCAAGAACACAACTATGCCGCAACTCTAGTTTATTTAGGCTTACAAGTGAAGATAACCATTGAGGGATCCTCTCAAGGTGCCCATTCAATTTTAATGTACGAAGACAAAGAGGAACGGTAGATAAAGAATGTTGGATATCAAGGATCTCATTTTCTTCAGCCGTCACAAGCCTTAAAGAGATAAGGTTTGTCAACTTTTCAATGGATGAACATAATTCTTTTCCATCTTTTTGTCTCAAATCTGTAACTCCAAGCTTTCTCAGTTGTGTTAGATTCCCTATCTCAGACACCACTTTGACGCCATTAGTTTTCTTTGCTTGTACATAACTCAAATTTTGTAAAGACAACAATCTCCCGATCTCAAAAGGAGCATAAAAACCAAAGATAGCATGGGCCACAATGAGATGTTGGAGTTTATGAAGTTTTCCAATCTCAACTGGCAGCTTAAACACATTTGTGTACTTCAGGTCAAGTATCTCTATGTTCTGAAGAGCTTGTATGGATTTAGGAACATTTCTCAACCCTGTATACCTCAAACTCAAATACTTCAAATGAAACAACTTGAATACTTCCTTTGGAATTTTCTCAAGATCAGTACCTCTTAAATCCAACACCTTCAGAGGAATATAATAATCAAAGGACAACAACTTTAATAATGAAGATGAAACCAGTACCGCATCTTTATAGAACTGTAATGAACGGATATGACTTTTGGAGGAAGTGGTCTTTAGAATGTCATCATCAAATCTATGGATTATTAGGCGTCGACACTTGTCGGACCATTCTTTGTTCTGTCTAGTGATGATGACTGCAAAGTTTTGCTCTAATGCCTTTGAAAGGATTATTTCACGTAAAATATCATGAACTCGTAAGCCAATAATCCTTCCTGCAATAGTCTTCTCTGCAATTTGGATTAAGTTTCGATGGATTAGCTGATTGAGATAAGCTTCAGCAACTTCTTCTTTCACTTGTTGACCCTTCTCCTTGATAAAGCCTTCTGCAATCCATAGTTGAATGACTCTGTTTTTTTCTATGATGGCATCCTCAGGGAAGATGCTAAAGTACAAGAAACAGTACTTTAGATAATATGGAAGATCATAGTAACTCAAGGATAATAGATTCTTCAAGTTTTTCATCCTATCATTGGTTTCCAATTGAAAGTTTAGACCATTCTGGAAACTTTTCCATACTGCAATATCTTTATCCTTGGTAGCCAATATACCGGCAATTACCACAATCGCCAGAGGCAGACCACCACATTTATTTACAATATCTTCAGCAATGTTCACCAAATGTGGAGGACATGAATCACTTAGAAATGTTTTTTTGCAAAACAATCTTAACGAATCTTTCTCGGACAAAAGCTTCAGTTTGTAGACATCACCTTGGGTTTCATGGCATGCATCACGGCCTATTTCACTATTTCTTGTAGTGATCACTATTCGACTACCAAACTTTTGTCTAGGAAAAGCATATTTGATAGCGCTCCAAACATCAAAACTCCATACATCATCTAAAACAATTATGTATCTTTGCTCTGAAAGAATGTTTATAACAAAATCTTTCAATTGAATAAAGCCTATGGTTTCAAAATCCTGTGGGAGTTGTTGATTTGTTTGCTTCACTAGTTGCTTAATTACATCTTTCAGCAAAACCTCAATCTTGAATGTTTCAGAAACTGTAATCCACACACGATGCTGAAAATGTTTTATGATTTGGGCATCATCATAAGCCTTTTTAACCATAGTTGTCTTCCCCAATCCCCCCATGCCCACCACAGAGTGAACCCTCAAATCATCACCAACAGCGCCAAGAAGGAGTTCAATAAGAGACTGCTTGGAATTTTTAAAACCTACCAGATCCGACTCTTCTGGAATACCGGTATCCCCTCGGCCATGCAATTGTTGGTTGTGAACAGTGCTTGTTGGTAAGCTTGGCTGATATTGGGAGTTTTGGTTGAGTTTGTCCTTGATATTTTGCAGTGCGACAGAGAGCCTGCGTCGAGCTCTCAAGTTCTTGACGGAAGTGTATATGTTGTTGATCTTAGTGTAGAAACCTCCACGGGTCCGGCCACCTCCAAAGCGGAACAGGAACTCGTCAAGAACATCTTCGGTGTCATAAGCCAGCTCCCGGACTATCTTCACCCAAGCTTCAACTTGGGTATCAATTTCTTCCCTCTCATCAGCAACTCTCAAAGCTGCCCTTAGACGACTCAGGTCATTCTTGATGTCTTCTGCATATTCTCTGATCCCTCCCAAGAGTGAGCACTCGTCACGGATCACCGCTGATAGTTGGTTCAAAAGAAACTCTACAGCAGCTTCGGCCATTAGTACAGATACTGAAATTACTTGTAATGTCACCGGCTAAGAATTGGTAGCATAGCTACTTGGGGGTGTTGTTTTATGGGAGATCAAACAAGATTTTAGCTTGAGTGCAAAATGGAATAATTTTTTTTCTTTATTTTTTCATTTAATTTCTTGCAGAGTATTATGCATGGTCAGTAGTGATGACCTATGATGAAGATAATGCAAAATTATTGGCATCCTCTGATAAAGACTTAAAGAGGACTCCGCAAGTCAACTCAACTATTACCCACCTATTTACACCATTGTCAAATTATTATAAATGATTCAGATTATTCAGATTTTATTTATTTTTTTTAATTTTTAAATTTAATCCTAATTATTAACTTATTGATTTCAATAAGAAAGTCTAAGGTTTGAATCACTTTCCAATAAAAGTTGACATAATTAAGTTCATCACTCACTGCTGAAAATTATGAAATTTCTGACCATCTGAAAATGATCTTAAATCAAGTCAAAAGCCTTGTCCCGATCACTTTTAGTGTCCGGAAAAACCTTTATAGCTATTTCTGACCACTTTTTTACTTTAGATTTGATTTGAGATCACTTTCAGGTGGTCGGAAGTTCCATAATTTCCAGTAGTGACTCTATTTTAATACATATGCATTTCTTTAATTTAGAATTATGTGTCTACAATGCCTTTATTTTTAAAAAAATTATTCATTATCATCTGTTCAAATAAGCCCAATGAGTCACTACCACCCCCACAAATGCTCAAACCCATGACCTCCTATTTGGAAGAATCACTTCATGCCGCTTGACCACTAGGTCTTCGACAAATAATGTTATATATTTATTTACCAAGTATTTTATTAATATCATGAAAAAAAATAGTTTGAAGCCATGATTTTGCGTGTTTTGGTAATCACTAATGATCAATAAACTTTCTGACCTAAAACAGTTCGTTGTCGAAGATATGCAATACCTAACCGGTGATCCTACTATAAACTACAAAAGACAAGAACTTAATGCAAAATTTAAAAGATAGAAAGTAAATGACACATATATTGATTACGCAGTTCGATACAATGTGTATCTACATTTGGGGGATGACCATCAGTGCGTCCAATTCACTATCTCCAACTCCAATTGTACAGAAAGCTAGGTAGAGATGCATGGAACAATCTCACCCAAAGTGATCACCACTCGGTCAGTACCCAGTCTACAATGGAATAGCGAATTGTTGAAGACGGAGATCCACACAATCAGAAGTCCAAGAATCCCTTCTTTTGAGAGCCGCTCTGTTGCAATCCGCTTCAATGACACACCCTACACTGTTCCCACAGTTGCATGGTCTTTGCGTTCACATATTTAAGCATCAACGCTTTCTTCTCAAGTTCTTCTTCGTAAAGCTTCAGAACATTGGTCTTGAGAAGATAATGAATCAGAGTTATTTTTGTAGAATATAATATTGTGAGAGATAGTTAGTGATTCAAGTCGATGTAGAGTCATGTATTAAACCCTTGGATCTTCTCCTTTTATATAGAACTCTGATTGAGAATAGGTAGACTAGTAGTCATAATTTGAATCTCAAGTAACTAGATTAATGTCTTACCCTTTTAGGTGAATATCCTGATCAGAGGCTTTCTTGTAAACACACCTTTTGAAGTAACTACTTCTGCCAGAGCATCATTATTCAATTCGGTGAAGTCCAACGGATATATCCAAAAGCGCTCTGGCGTAGTGTCTGCTCGATCATATCTTCACTTCAGACTCTGATAGACACCTAAACTAAAATCTATCTAATTTTGTCAATTACAATTTGGGGTTTAGACTTAAAACACTAACAGAAGCCAATCATATTAACTACTTGGGGGATTTGCCTACAAAGAGAGTATTCAAATAACTCAACAAATTGATGCGGGAAACTATCTCCTAATATCTTTGGACTACATCATATTTAAAATGTTCAAATTTTTACTATTTTATCTAATCTTATTCCTTAAACTAGTGATTTCTTTATCTACAATAACTCATTCACACAATAATGGTTGAACCAAATGAACCCCGAGCAGAACACCTAAATGGCTGATATGCTTTTATGTTGATAATAATATGTAAATGTTAATTATATCATTACCTTATGTAGCTACATTTAAAACTGTCAATGTAGGGAAATAGAACATTGTAATACACTTGTTGCACTGTGTTGGTTTTCACAGCCTCGATGGCCGCTCGGCAGGCCAACACTACCGAAAAGTTGTACTTGCGAGGTGATGAAACAAGAGATAAAGTATTAAAGGGAGAGAGAATAATGTAGCACTATTTCTCTAGGGTTTTGCCCATAAAAGTGCCGATCAGATACATGGTGATCCCGTGGGGATATTTGTACATGAAATGGAGTTCGTATATGGTAAGTAGGGTTGACGTAAGGCCAAGTCTAAAGAGGGGATATGGCTGACGTAGGGCTGATGCAGCTACCTACTTACTACCGTAAACCGTCTAGACTAATTAAGGAAGCTACCTAAATGACTGGAGATAGCCTCCGCAAGATCCGCTGACATCCGTCTTTGGATATGTACCCGGTCGGGACCGCACTGGCCGCCAGGGGAGTATCTTCAGGGGTCATCATATCCAGGCGAAGACGCTCTGCCTGCGAAGCCTGGTCGCCCGGTCGGGGACACACCACCCGCGTAGCCTGGTCGTCCATTCAGATCCCACGGGGTATTCAGCCGGAGACACACCGACTACTGAGGCTGGTCGCCCAACCGAGTTTCGTCCGATAACCCGCCCGGCGACACACCCGGCTGTTGAGACTGGTTGCTAAAGGAGGGACAGCTGCCGTCGTAGGACGTCTTATACGATGGTTGGGAAGGGTCCTGGAGATCCCCTACATGCTAAGTATCGAACCACGCCATGACTCGGCTGCCTTGCCTGACCTTCCCGTCCAAGCGGCTAATTTGGGGTATCTATCACCAATCCCTCACTTTTTTAGGTTTTCTTCAGCGGCAAAAGCTAATTTTTTTCATTTTTTAGTGTGATCGGTAAAAATTTCCATTTCATATGTTTGAAGGTTTCCCATTAATTGAGTGATAGTCTTGTTTTCCTAGCCTCATGTTCCTAAATAGCAATGACCTTCATCCTGAACCTGGGCGGTAGAGATCTCAGAATTTTCTTTACCAGTTTTGCTTGAGGGAAAGGTTCACCAAGGACCATTGCACGATTTGCCAACTCTTAGACTCGGCTATGGAAGCTTGTGATGTTCTCTTCTTCACTCATCCGAAGTTCTTCAATGTCAGACTGTACCAGTTGTAGCTTTGATTGTTTCACGGAATTCGTGCCCTCGTAGGTTGACTCAAGAGCTTCCCACGCACCTTTAGCTGAATCATAATCTGCAACTATAGGAAATTGACTTTCATGTATTAGTTGGTAAATAGCAATGTTGCAAAAAACGTTAGGCGCCCCCTAGGCGCCGATTTTTTTTTTTTTTTTTTAAATTAAAAATAAAATTAAAAATTAAAATTTTTCAAAATTTAGTAATAAAATATAAAGTTTCCATAGTTATTTCTTACAAACTATTTACGTAAGTGGTTGTAAAAGTGTTCAAAAAATTGTTTAAACCATCTAAATACATAAAAAACTAAAATTAAGAGCAAAAGAAACATTTTTTTGAGAAATTAGTGGTTCATGAAGTTTCATTAGTCTTATATTGAATTGTATCTAGGGGCAATTGATTCCTGATTCCTCCAGTATCTGATTTGATTCAGATTACCTTGTTTGATTAGTCTTATATTGAATTATTAACTATGTTGAGCATGTGGTGGTGTTTATCTTCTAACTTTGTTTTTATCTGATGACAGGATGATAAGGCTGATGTAATTCTGAAATATATGCCGGACGAGGCCAGATTGTTGAAGGCGTATGGAGAGTTGCCTGAGAACACTAGGCTCAATGAGGGTATTGCTGGTGGGTTGGATGAAGAGGATGAGGGCGCGGCTGATGATTACCTGGAGTTTGAGGACGAGGACATTGATAAGAGTTAAAAAGCTGAAAACTCTCTCTAGTATTTTTATTTGTCTTTGAGTTATATTTCTGTGGAGTTTGGTTTCAATATACATAGAACTGGGATATTTAATTTGTAATGTTTTAAATGATATATGACGCCTTGTGCATTGAATTTCAAGTATGAAGTTAAGCTTTTGATAAAATGGATGGAATAAAGCTGAGTTACCTTTTTAAGCTATCTATAATCTATCTATGTGGTTGACATGGAAAACTGTATGCGTGTTCTTGATTGTCTTCTGTGCAATTTGTGGACTGGTAATGCTTGGATGTGCCCTTTTCTGCTTTCTTCAAGTTGATTTTAGGAACAAGTTCATAAACTACACTTGCTGTGCTTAGTGAATTCATTCTATCTTTTAGCTGCTTAGATGTGAAATCAAGAATTTGGTGTTTTGTTGTAAGTATGATTTAGAACGCGTATTTATGATCTTGTTATTTCTGTAGTCTATCCTCTTCACCTCATTTAAGGAGGCTGCTTAGATGTGAAATCAAGAATTTGGTATTTTGTAGTATGTATGATTCAGAACACGTATTTATGATCTTGTTAAAGGAGGTGAATAGGCCATTAAATCTTGTTCTGCAATTGCATATGTTTGGCTTTTGATGTTTATTATTTTTTTTGGGTGATGAGGGAAACCTGCAGCCACTCTCCAAGGGTATGTGCTGGGTAATCTCACATTGTGACCCTAGTCAGCAAAGGATCACAATTTCCCAGGGAGGTAAACTAGTCTAGGTTGCTCATAGAGTCATAGTTGATTGCTCAAATCAAGAAGGCCAATAGGAAAACTATTTATTACAATGCGCTGGGTAACCCTGCATTGTGACCCTAGTCAGCAAAGGATCACAACTTCACAAGGAGGTAAACTAATCTAGGTTGCTCATAGAGTCATAGTTGATTGGCTCAAATCTAGAAGGCCGATACGTTGCTCCCATTGGGAGTTGAACTTGAAACCTTGACGTTTATTTGATATTTTTGAGGTACATGCGTGTTTTGTTTGTTGGTCTTCTCTACAGCTTATCAAGTAATAAGTAGTTGTAATAAATAGTTTTCCTAGTCAGCTCAATATTTTTCTTGTTTACTAAAATGTGTCTATCATAGTATTTTTTATGTGGGTGTTAAGTCTTAAATCTGTGCTTGCTTATGGAAAAAAAGCTTAGTTTTTGGACATGTTGAGGGAATTGTTAATGTCCATAGAGACAACATATGATACAGGAGGCATGTTGCTTACCTAAGACTTTTAATTGCTTTGTGCCTGTGTCTATGGTTTTCATTTTGGAAGGTTGTATTAACAGAAATTAGATGTCTGCATCTGAAATCGGGATGCCGATGAATTGAGGCAATGCTAGTGTTGCTATATGAGGATAAGCTAATTAGAAAAACTATGAAATTCATGTTATGTTTCCCCTCGGTTCCTTGCGGTTTTTAACCTCCAAGCATTTGGTCCTTCAAGTTTCAAACCTGCTAGAATGTCTGAATATCATGTGACCTAATTCATTCAACCTATAAAAGCCTGAACAGAGCCATTGCATTTCATGAAGCTCAGGGTAGTAATGACTAAAAGAGCAGGGAAGAAAAACAGAGTCTATAACTAGCTTGCATTCAATTGACTTGAGCTTTAGACAAATGTTCAATACCAAGAGGTATCTATTATATTCAAGCAATTTGCATCTAGCCAAGCGCAGCTCTTCAAGAAGGCCCATTTCAATACCAAGAAGAATACAATAATAAAAAACTTGAGCTTTGAGAACTTGCCAGCTTTGAAACACAACCCTTCCATATTATAAGACTCGTGAAGATAAATGGAGTGTTTGGTAAATAGTTGTTGGCTTAATGAGTTTGATTAGTTACGTTGATGGTAAATTAGCTGTTAGTTGATAGCTGATTATATACAAAATGACTTTTTCAAAAGGTTAATCGGTTGAGCAGCTTTTTGAATTTTAGTATTTTGGAACAATAAACTGTTACAAAAAGCTAATTAACCAAACACTTATATTGGTTGCTTAATCAAGTTAAACTATTAATAGTGGTCAAACAAAAAGAGGGCAAAAGACTATGGAGAAATCTCCAATCTTGGAGATCAGAAGCGGTAGTGGATCTTCAATAAGACAGCTACCCGAGTTTACTTGGGCTTACACGTGAAGATAACCATTGAGGGATTGGATCCTCTCAAGATGCCCACTCAACTTTATTGTACGAAGACACCAAAGATGAACTCTAAATAAAGAATGTTGAATATCAAAATCAAATTTAAGACAATTAAATACATAATCAAATTCAATATTGCCTTATGAATACCAAAGTGTACATATATACATACATAGACATTTACACATACTACATTTCCCGACCATTAAGAGACTGCAATATGTCACCATTTACAAATTTATTTAATAATATGAATGTAAGGAATATGAGATATTTTTGTGTAATTTTCACCATTTGAATCTAAAGAAAGCATCAAATTTTCGTTCAATTGGCAGAATGCAATTGAGTCGAGTTTAGACAAATGTTCAATACCAAGAGGCACATGTTCAAGCAATTCGCAAGTAAACAAGTAGAGCTTTTCAAGAAGGGGCATTGCATCTTCCTCCACTATTATCCATTTCAGTGCCCAGAAGCAATCAATACGCAAAAACTTTAGCTTTGGGAACTTTCCAGCCTTAAAACATAACCCTTCCACGTTATAAGACTTGGAAAGAAGAAGCTGTGATAGCATGGGCAAATCTTGGAGAAGAGGTAGTGGATCTTCAAGAAGCCAACTATTAACCAACTCGAGTTTAGTTAGGCTTACAAGTGAAGATAACCATTGAGGGATCCTCTCTAGACGCCCACTCAATTTTAATCTACGGAGACAAAGAGGAACCCTAGATAAAGAATGTTGGATATCAATGATTTCATCTACTTTAGCCGAATCAAGGCTTAAAGAGCGAAGGTTTGTCAACTTTTCTAGGGATGAACATAATTCTTTGCCGTCTTCTCGCCTCAAGTTTCTAACTCCAAGTTTTCTTAGTTGTGTTAGATTCCCTATTGCAGACACCACTCTGTTGCCATTAGTTTCGTTTGCTTGTATATAATGCAACTTTTGTAAAGACAACAATCCCCCAATATTAAAAGGGGCATTAAAACCATTGCCCCAATAATAGCCCACAATGAGATGTTGGAGTTTACGAAGTTTTTCAACCTCAACTGGCAAACTTTTCACGACAGTCCGTTTCAGGTCAAGTATCTCTAAGTTTTGAAGACGTCCTATGGATTTAGGAACATTTCTTAACATTGTGTTCCTCAAACTCAAATACTTCAAATGAAACAACTTGAAAACTTCCTTTGGAATTGTCTTTAGTCCATTGTCTCTTAAGTCTAACACTTTCAGAGGAATATAATCAATGGACAACAGCTTTGATAATGAAGATGAAACCACCCCATCTGTAAAGAGCTGCAAAGAACGAAGATGCAATATTTTGGATGAAGTGCTCTTTAGAATGTCATCATCAAATCTATGGATCATTAGGCGTCGAAACTTGTTGGACCATTCCTTATTCTGTCCAGTGACTATGACTGCAAAGTTTTGCTCTAATGCCTTTGAAAGTATTATTTTTCGTAAAATATCATGGACTTGTAAGCTAATAATCCTTCCAGCATCAGACTTCTCTGCAATTTGAATTAAGTTTCGATGAATTAGCTGATTGAGATAAGCTTCAGCAACTTCTTCTTTCACTTGATGACCATTCTCCTTGACAAACCCTTCTGCGATCCATAGTTTAATGACTCTGTTTTTTTTAATGATGACATCCTCAGGGAAGATGCTAAAGTACAAGAAACAATACTTTAGATAATAGGGTAGATCATAGTAACTCAAGGATAATAGATTCTTCAAGTTTTTCATCCTGTCATTGCTTTCTAATTGAAGGTTAAGACCATTTTGGAAATTTTTCCATTCTGCAATATCCTCACCCTTTGTAGCCAATATACCAGCAATTACCACTATCGCTAGAGGCAGACCCCCGCATTTATTTACAATATCTTCAGCAATGTTCACCAAATGTGGAGGACATGAATCACTTAAAAATATTTTTTTGCAAAACAATATCCATGAATCTTCCTTAGACAAAAGCTTCAAATGGTAGACATTACCTTGAGTTTCGTGGCATGCATCCCGGCCTATTTCACTATGCCGTGTTGTGATTACTATGCGGCTACCAAATTTTTGTTCTGGAAAAGCATATTTGATAGGGCTCCAAACATCAAAACTCCATATATCATCTAAAACAATGATGTACCTTCGACCTGAAAGAATGTTCATAACAAAATTTGTCAATGGAATAGAGCCCATGGCTTCAAAATCCCGTGGGAGATCTTGTTTTGTTTGCTCAACTAATTGCTTAATTGCATCTTTCAGCAACTCCTCAATCTTGAATGTTTCCGAAACTGTAACCCACACACGATGCTGAAAGTGCTTTATGACTTGTGCATCATCATAAGCCTTTTTAACCAAAGTGGTCTTCCCCAATCCCCCCATGCCCACCACAGAGTGAACCCTCAAATCATCATCAACAGCGCCAAGAAGGAGTTTAATAAGAGAGTGCTTGGAATTTTCAAAACCTACCAGATCTGAGTCTTTTTGGAAAAGGGCATCCACTCGGCCATAATGCAACTGTTTGTTGTGAACAGTTCCTCTAGTGCTTGTTGGCAAGCTTGGCTGATATCTGGAGTTTTCGTTGATTCTGGCCTTGATCCTTCGCAGTGCAAGAGCGAGCCTGCGCCGAGCTCTCAAGTTCTTGACGGAAGTGTATATGTTCTTGATGTTAGTGTAGAAACTTCCACTGGTCCGGCCACCTCCAAAGCGGAACAGGAACTCATCAAGAACATCTTCGGTATCATAAGCCAGCTCCCGGACTATCTTCACCCAAGCTTCAACTTGAGGATCAATTTCTTCCCTCTCGTCAGCAACTCTCAAAGCTGCCCTTAGACGACTCAGGTCATTCTTCATGTCTTCTGCATCTTCTCTAATCCCTCCCAAGAGTGAGCACTCGTCACGGATCACTGCTGACAGTTGGTCCAACAGAAACTCTACAGCAGCTTCCGCCATTAGTAATCGTCACCCCGGCAAAGAATTGGTAGCGTTTTATGGGAGATCAAACAAGATTTTAGAGTGAAAAACTGAATGATTTTTTTTTTTTTTTTTTGGGTTAAAATTCTTGCAGAGTGTTATGTATGGCCAGTAGTAACGACCTGATGAAATAATGCAAAATAAATTATTATCCTCAATAATTGAAGGTTAAAGTCGATTCCACGAGTCAACTAAATTATTATCCACCATAACAAAATACACTACTACTTCCGCTTACTGTTGATTTGGTAAGGAGAAGATTACAAATTTGACTCACAAAAATTATGTTATTTTTATCAAAGACATAAATGCCAAATATCTGTTGACACAATGACTCAATCCCAGGCCAACTGACATGGAGATGGGGACGACGAATTCCTAAGCAGCGCCTTCAGGAAGGCTTGAACTCATGATTTTCTATTTGAAAATCACTTCATGTCACTAGACCACAAAGTCAATAGCTAATTTTTTTTTTTAGAAAAAGTCAATGGCTAATTTATTCATTTTAATATAAAATATTTTTCTGGTACACAGATTTTAGAGCATGTTTGGTTCGATGAAAAATATTTCTCAAGAAAAATATTTTCCATGAATTTGAAGAAAACTAGTTTTTCATTTGTTTGTTTCATGGAAAACATTTTCCTCAAGAATGAGGAAAACATTTTTATAATTGTCTTTGTATTCATTATTCCTTACAATTCCAAATACAACCAAACAATGGATTATGAAAAAAGAATTATATACTGAGGATGATAAGAATTGATAGAAGTATCTTAGCATGCTCTTGGAGAGTTCAAATATGACCAGAAACATTATAATAAAAAGGGAAAATAACACTTTTGGTTCCTGAATTATTTAACTTTTGGAAATTTAGTCCATGTCAATTGATTTGAACAAATTTTATTTTGAAAGCCAATCAGACATTTGTATTAATGAATGAACGCAGTAATAGCATCAGGGGGAATAGAATCTCAATACATAGAATGTTCCTGAGCGAATGCTAACGAAACTAAAGTATGAGCATGCAAATTAACTTGTCTAGAAACATAACATAACGTAAGCTGATTAAATAAGGACATAGTAGTCTTGCACTGATCAATCACGATCCCAACATAAGAAAAGGTAGATGTTTGTTGGTGTAAAGCACTCCGTAGCACCATGCAGTCTGTGAGAAGGCAGACCATTGTGATATTCCTTTCCAACAACCAAGATAGAGCCTCCTTACAAGCTAGTGCCTGTTGGTGATAATGAACCAAAATTGATTTAATATCCCAAAAATAATATTTATATATACACACACAAGTATATAAAATATTATTGGATATTTATCCGAAATATATATATACACACAAATATATATAAAACGGACCCAAAGGTTATATATACATGTATATCTACGAAAAAGATATACCAATATATATCAACCAAAATTGGAACTAATAATCATCAGATTATAAGTCCAATCCAACGAATATATCAAAAGCGGGAGAACGGATTTTTGCTTAAAAGCATAATCCAAAACAAGAAAGAAGGAGAGGAAGAAAGAATAGTACGAGTTAGGCGAGGTGCCTTTCTTTCCTTAAAACCTTATTTGCCACCTCCCAAAAGTGCTAGGAGCGTTGTGGCCTAGGTTTCCCAGGATAAAACATACAACGGTTCGACGTTTGAGTACCCAAACGAATGAACCCGGCGAACAAGAGCACGGGCAAAACACAGCTTCAAGAATGGAGTAGGAGCAGAGATTTTGGAGCTGGGAAAAACAGAATTTTCTGTGTTGTGTGTGTTGTTCTCTCTGTGTAGAAACACTGCTGCTACACTCCTTCTTATATAGGAGGTGAAGAATCAATATCATTCAATTTTTACATTTAATGCACGATTTGTAACACATGAAACAACCACCATTATTTGAGATTTAACTCAAAAATTGAAAACTGGAATTAATACAAGATTAATTCTGTAACAGACCAGAACCAACGAGAGTTCGTGCGTCAATGCACACGAGACTGAACTCTCGTGTGTGCTCACAACACGAGAGTCAAACTCTCGTGCTGCTTAGCAGCAGCCGCACGAGAGTTCAACTCTCGTGTAAGTCACATGAGAGTTCGAACTCTCGTGTGACCTCATGACAGCGCACGAGAGATCACACTTGATCTGCGCACACGAGAGTTCGAACTCTCGTGGTGTGGCCATTTAGTGTTGGAAAAACTATACAGAAATTGCCATAACTTAGCACGCAAGGAGGTGCCGGCGCACACGAGCTCGGGCTTAAATCAAGCATGTTCGATCTCGTTTCTAGTTGGAATTTGATTTGCACCTTCCCCGCGAGAGAGCCTCTATGCTATACAATTCTACAAGTTCCAAAAGAGCTCTTGTATAAAAGGGGGGTCAAATCCTCTTTCCAAACCAATGTGGGACAAAGCTAACTTTTCCCTTCATTTTTCCAACTCAATGGATCTACTTTGAGAATCAATATCTCATTCACCCATTATCCGTTTTGAGCGTACAATATATCAATCTCTTCGTCTCACTACGAAGAAGCCGAATCCACTTTGACCCGACCCAAATCGGAAGTGGACCCCACTGATAATTGTACCACAAAATAGCCACTTAACATGTCATATTATGCCATTTTAATGCTATTTTCCAACAGTGCCTTCGCCATAAGTGGCGAGAAACAAAAAGGTAGCTTGCCATTTCTTGCTGCTATGAATAACCCCTCCGATGGCGTTGGTGGACCTGGCAGTACGACAACATGGCAGCGGACGCCCGCCTTCAAATGACGTCCGGGCGTGATAGTGAACCATCCCATACGGCTGTATTTCAACTCCTCCATAAGTGGTATAGCACTGCGACCATGAGACCACATTGGTCCTCCGTTAATACTGCCAAAGCACCCATTAGCCATATTGGAATGGAATTTGTAACAATATTTGTAATAGGTAATTGTGTAACATTCCAAACAAGTCTAGAATATTCACACAACACTAGAGCATGCAACACATCTTCACGATCTAAACCACACATTGGGCACACAGGATCCACTTCTACTCTCTTCACTATTAGATTATTAGCGGTGGGGAGAATCAATATCTCATTCACCCATTATCCGTTTTGAGCGTACAATATATCAATCTCTTCGTCTCACTACGAAGAAGCCGAATCCACTTTGACCCGACCCAAATCGGAAGTGGACCCCACTGATAATTGTACCACAAAATAGCCACTTAACATGTCATATTATGCCATTTTAATGCTATTTTCCAACAGTGCCTTCGCCATAAGTGGCGAGAAACAAAAAGGTAGCTTGCCATTTCTTGCTGCTATGAATAACCCCTCCGATGAGAGCAGCACGACGCTGTACGTTGCCTCCCCAGTTTCCTGCCGGAAGCCGGCGTCTATAAAACACCGTGATTTGCTGCCATATTCGGTGCCGTGGCCGGTTGGTGCAGTTGGCGTTGGTGGACCTGGCAGTACGACAACATGGCAGCGGACGCCCGCCTTCAAATGACGTCCGGGCGTGATAGTGAACCATCCCATACGGCTGTATTTCAACTCCTCCATAAGTGGTATAGCACTGCGACCATGAGACCACATTGGTCCTCCGTTAATACTGCCAAAGCACCCATTAGCCATATTGGAATGGAATTTGTAACAATATTTGTAATAGGTAATTGTGTAACATTCCAAACAAGTCTAGAATATTCACACAACACTAGAGCATGCAACACATCTTCACGATCTAAACCACACATTGGGCACACAGGATCCACTTCTACTCTCTTCACTATTAGATTATTAGCGGTGGGGAGAATATCACATATAGCTCTCCATAAAAAGGTCTTCCATTTTGGTGGGATTTTTAACTTCCACATTTTTGCCCATTTATCAAATGCACCTAGGCTATCATAAAAGTCCCCCATAATACTCTTATAAGCATTTTTAACCATATAAATCTCATTTGGATCCCCCTTCTTGTAACACCCCATGTTACGGCCTCTAAACCAAACCAATTACTTAATTACTTACCCTTAAAAGGGGATTAAATTCCCTTAATTAATTAAGAAGGGTCCACCATAAGCCATGGACCCTTATACCTAAACCAAACCCTTAGTCCTATAAGGAATAGAATTAGTAAATTCATATCATTCAGACCCTAATTAGGACTCTTAGATATATATAAGGACATAGGAGGCACCTAGAACTCACACCACAATAGCTTTCACCACACAAGAATTCCCAAGAATTCCCATAGGAGAAATCAAGAAAAGGAGATCTTAGAGAAAAACCCTTTATAGCCAAGGATTCTAATTAAGGCTAAGAGGTAACCCATGTCTCAACAAAACCTATTTTCCTTGCTATAATCTTCTTCTTTGGCTCCTTCTCTATGCTTGTGTCTTGATAAATCTTTTATAATGATTATGATATGATCTTGATGTTGATGAGATGATCTTATGCGTTGATCTTGATAATCTTGATGATTATAAGAGGATCTTGATAATTGTGTGTTGATTCTTGATAAATCTTGATGTTCTTGATTTTAAAAAATAAAGTATGATTTTGTGATTTAAATATGATTAGAGCCATAGGTTAAATCGTGCATTTTGTATTGTGCTATTCTTGGTATATTTGGGTGGGAATCCGCATGTTCGGGTGTTGATTATGTTTAGAAGTCATGTTAGGATGTGTTCAATGTGATTCTTGGTTTGATCCGTTATTTGACTACGTGGTATCGTCGCTTGCGTTTAAAAGTGTCTAAACATGGTTTCGGGTTCCACGAAAGATCCCGAGACCCAAGTATTGAAAAAGAGTCAGTGGGGGGTAGGGAAACCCGCCACCTACCCGCTGCCCCTAAAGGGCGTCGCCGGCAACGGGCAGGCGGCGGGCAGGCGGCTGCCCGCCGGGCACCCGCTGCCCAGCGTCTCGCCGCCGGCGGGTGGTCCTCCACCTGCCGGCCACCCGCTGGAAACTCCCAAGTGGGAAGGTGATTTTCCCCGTTTGATGTTTCCCCGACCCTCGTGGTGTTCCACGGACTCCGTTTATCGTGCCTGAGTCTAGTTTGATGTTTCGGGTACCATTCGTAG